ACAACTACAATGACTGTTTGACCTAGACACTAGGTTGAAAAAACATAATTTTAAGTATAGCATTTTAGATTACTTTTAGAGGCTAAGATGTAAACTGTACGTTCCCCCCACATTAGAGTCCTGTAGTATAGAACCAGTTCAACTAATGCTCGGCAAATAAGTATAATAAAGATCTGATTTTTTTTTGTTAAGTACGCGACATGAAGTAAAGTATCAATGTTTCCCTGCTATAGAAACTGCTATATATTTAGCCTTATTTATATTAAGAGATATTTTAAGAGCGTCCAAAAACATTTTTAATAATTCTAAACCATTTTTCATTCACACCAGATACAATCACTGTGTCGTCCGCATAGGAAACAACCCCTCCCACGTCTAATTTTCCTAATTCATAGAGGCCCTAGCACAGTTCCTTGCGGCATACCCATCAAAGCTTTGGTCACTCGAAAGGTTCACCAACAATGTCGCAGATTTCGTAGTTTTCAAGTCCATCAACTAATTGCGCATGTGACACTGTATCAAACGCCTTGTGTAGGCCGAGAAAGACAGCAGCACGCTTATTATCAACAGCCAGATGGTTAGTAATTTTTTTTGGTGAGCTCCACCATTGCATCATTAGTGTTCACCCCTTGAGTAAAACCAAATTTATGACTGTTTTAAAATTGGTGAAGTGATTTTATCATTCCCTAGAGCACAATTGTTTTTAAAATTATTTATATATTCTATTTTCTCATTTACCGTGGCTGCAGTTGAAAACATTGATTGTACACCTTTTTGTTTTATTATTGCCGGAGAGATGGACAACTCTTTTTTCCTATTCTCCTATTTTGATAAAATATTCATTGAATATATTCTTCTTCTTGTTTTTTGTTAGTTGTTAAAATGTCATCATCTTTTTTTAAGGATATGTTTTCATTAAGTCATTTACTTTTTACATATAAACAGAACTTTTAGCATTCTTTATAAATTTATTTAGCTAATTTAGATAAGTTTTATTTTCAGTAAGTACATTTTGTCTATAGTTTTTATAGAAGTAACTATTCCATTTGCAATCCATGGTTTTACATTACGGTAGTTCTTCCTGTCTCCTGGGATTTATGTACAATGTACAATGTTAGTTAATAAATTAATGAGAAAATTCCTGCCATTCCTGTCACACGAGAATAATTTATAAGGATTGGAGAAGCTGGTTCATTTGGATTATTTTCATTCGTCATGGATTTTACTAGCTAGACTACTAACAGCGTGCGGTAATGCAAGATTCAAGACCGGGGGAGTTGGTTACCGTGGTTCAAATAATCTATTGTGACTCCTCCCTTATCTATGGAGCTTTATTTAGATTTGCTAGATGGACTTCTGAAAAATTACTTAGCTTAGCAAATCTTATTTAGAGGGAAAGGGTTAATAATGGGTATTCTTTTGTCTGTCATACACGTTAATCTTAATGGAAGATATGATTGACATGATCATGTAAATTTGTAAACCTTAATCTTTGTCTTCTATACCTATTGATTTAGTTCTTTTCCCCTTTTTCCGTCGTTCATTACATGCGTAAGTCTTTTGAAATTCTTGTATTTTTTTACAAGTGTGAATGATTTCAGGTAACGAATGGGCAAGACGGAGATAAGAATCTTCGTTACTAATCGTCTTTTTGTATTGTAAAATGTGCCTTAAACTTAATAAGTCAGTAGTCACAAGTCAAGGATTCAAACAAGTGAAAAATAGTAAAGTTCTTTCTAAAGGTTAAAAAATGGGTAAACAAGGGCTTTGTGTGGTGTTCTATTGTCTCCCTTATTCCATGTCCATTATTTCGACGCATATTTTGTCACACCCCGTTTTGTTTTGCGCAGTACAAGCGTCTCTTTGTTGCGGCACTCCTTTGTCAGTCTCTCTTTTTGAAGACACCGTTAACTGCTCATTTGTGATATACGCGGGTGTTTTGTACACAGGACTATTTGACCCCCCTTTTTTCCATTTAATGCTGAAGGAACGAGTTAGCAATTTTCCAATTTCCCTTGTCCAAATGTTCTGACGTCGGCGCATAAAATATAACGACCGGGGAAACCGGTATCCCTAAATCACCGGGGGATTCGAACCCTTACATTCCGGTTCCGGAACGAAACGGAGTAAAATCGGAAATTTACGATGAAACGGCGCGTCCCGGCGCTTACCATAACGAAATGCCGCGTGCAGTTTACAGTCGATAAAAATGCGGGAGATCGGGTCGGGGGTGGATAAAGGAGAACATAAGAGCCTCTTCGGGGGTTAATTTTAAAAAAAAAGCTAATGTATTAACCAATTTTATTGCAAATCGCCTATATTATATATGACTCTATTTCTGAAAAGTGTAGAGTATGCATTTGCAGCCCGTGACGTGTGTTGTATGCCAAGTAGTCTTTTAAAGTAGTGTTGACTGAAACCGTTTCAGTCAAGCTCTGAAGAAGCCAACAGGATGATTGGCGAAACGTCAGCAATTTCGACTAAGCAAACACCGACGCAGGAGGAATCCAGAAGTTTTGTAAAAAGCATTACAGTGGCCTGTGGAAGTTTCTTTGAAAAAAAAAACTGTTTGAAAAATTATAATACAATTTATTAAAATAACAAATTAGATGAAAATTGATGAAAATCCATTTAATATCCAACTAAATAATATTTTGACAGGTTTTAATGATTTATGACGGCACCATCAGTTAAATTCTCAATGTCATACTGCCTTTAAACCTAGATACGTTATCAAAAGTTCATTCGGACTAATCAAGGTTAAAGACATTATAAATAATAAATTATTTACTTAGATGAAACCTGGTTCGACACTTATGATACCCCGGAAAAGGGTTGGGTTGACTCAACTGATAAGTGTAAAACAAACGCACCATCAAAAAGAGGTAAAAGAATAACTATTTTGCATGCTGGCTCTAAAGATGGTTGGATTCGAAATGGACTTTCTCTGTCTGCGAAAAATATTAACGATTCTTCTCTGGATTACGATGAAGACACCACCGCTGATTTATTTGAAAGTTGGTTAAAAACAAACTAGTTCCAAATATTCCTCCTAATAGCGTCATTGTAATGGACAATGCAAGTTATCACAGTAGACAGTTGACTAAAACCTTCCTCATGTGACACAAAAGCAACAATCCAAAACTACATGTATAATAACGACATTTATTTTCACGAAGATTATACCAAAAAGCAATTAATTGTGGTTCTACAAAGCTTGAACCTACAAAAGGAATACGTCTGTGATAAATATGCAAAAAGTCTATATACAGTTTTAAGGCTGTATATTTAATCTCATTGAAGATGTTTTTCATCAACTGAAATCTGCCATTCGTCGTAACAATGTTTTTCCCCGTGTTAACTCCAATGCCCTCAAACTTATAGAAACCGAAGTTTTTAACGTCCCTCCACAAAGTTGGGCAAATTCTGTTAAACATATAAAACATATTGCAAATAATATAGAACAAATAATAATTAGAACAGGCGATGATAGCGATAGTGATACTGATATATTATGTGAATAATTTTAAGTAATTTTAGTAGGTAATAAAAATAATTTGTAATTTTATTTTATATTTAAACATAAATACATACATAATTAAATATATATTGTTTAGTATCTTTCCTAACAAAACCCCAAATAAATAAAAGTACGGACCTGTTCGGCCATATTTCATTTTTACAGTTTGCCCGGGTCTTTCCTTAATTCGTATCCGTTAGTCACTTCCTCATATATATGAACAGACCATACCCGTTTGGACCCGGCTTAACGGACGAATTGACCTCGCAACCGGTCACAGCCAATGACTGCGCGTTTCAAAGAGGATTTCAATTTTACAATTCTTAATCGCTTATATTTGTTACCTAGAACTACGAAAATATTATTTTTTGTGAACTGTGGTTCTTTTAATAGTATAAATATATTTCAAATTAAAATTTTGTTTAATTTCCTTATTAGTGCGATTTCTATTGTGATAACACTGACTGGAGAATACGTTTTCCCAGGGGTTATTGTGTTTCTGCCCGTTACTCTAACGTATTAAATGGCACACAGACAGACACACGTACATTGCGTACACCTGTACATCGCAACCCGTCCGTGGCGTTCCATTTCCCGTAGCGTAGAACAGGTATCGCCTAAGTGCGCCGCCGCCCCTTCGCGCTCCCCCCATCACCGGGTGGCGGACTTCCGCGACTGCCTTCTACGCCGGTGGTGGCGGCAGCGCCCGTTTTGAAATCTAATTTTCGTCTTATTAAGTTGATAGTTGCGTTCTGTTAGTCGTCGATTACGCGCAGTATCGAGTGGAGGGTGTTAATTTGTCAAACCCCCGCGCAACTTGAAAAAGTTCTGGGGAACCCGAACTAGCGATGGTACCCGGCGCGCACTTTCCGCATTGTTTCGTGTGTGGGTGCTTGTTTATGTGCGCGCGATGTCCCAGACTCGGCCAAATCGAATTTTCTCAATGCGCCAAACGGAAGGAAAATATTTTGAGCCCTTTATAGGGGCTAAGGTCACTTTCGATGCTTAGTTTCGGGCACGGAAGGGCACGGTGTGTCTCAATGTAGATCGTCTTGGTTTGTGGCGGGAATTATCGCAATAAACTAATTTAATATTATATTATGTCCAATTATATCACACTAGTACTAATAAGTACTTGGTTTTTGACGTAATAATTGTATCACACATGAAAACAAACATTAAGTTGTAAAAAAAAGTAAAAAGCCAACGTGGAAGAAGCATATTTTTATAATTTTATCCGATTTGGATATAAAAAATAAGATGGCTGTGTATATGGTTGCCTATTCTGGAAATTTACAGTTTCCCAAATAACTGACAATTTAACATTCTCCCCCTATCAAAGTGGTGCTGTAGGAACGCAATTATTGTAAATGTAATCGTTACCTATGTTGTGTAGTAAATTATATTCCTGCTTGTGTCAGAAAATCTTTGAAATTTTATTCGTTATCTTATATTTAAATTTATTTATTATTAAATTTATATTTATTGTTTTCAATATAACAATTATATACACGCAATCTTTAATTTTCTGCATATATTTTGTTTTTTATTGGAAAAAAATCAGATTAATTAAATCAATAATAAATCAAAACTTGTGTCAATCTGACATGTATGGTGTTTTGTAGACAAAATTTAACGTCCGTATTATAACATTATTTTTGACTTTGATAATAAGGGTCTCAAAATCGTTAATTATTTTATTGCCTTCAAATGTAATTTTTGACATAAAATTGTAGATTTTTCTAAAACAGTTAGGCTTGGCTATAGCTTAGCTATACATGAAATATATCTAGAATTTTTCGGGGCAATCCAAAAATGCCATAATATACATAGTGTTCCATTTAGAATATTTAACCCGGCTGAACGAAACACGCTGTATATGTGACAAATGAAAAATTACAAGATCTTAATGAAAGTTAACTTTTTTTATCGTCCGTAGTTTCTAAGTTAGGGGAACCTTGTGCGAGACTATGTATACTGCATGTTTGCAGCTCACAAACAGTATATTACCAATTTTTAGTTAAATGTGTTAGAGTTAAAGTTGTAGTAGCATTTTCTGCTCTCACATTTGATTTTACTTAGCGTAAAACAGTATGTCCCATCTGTTCAGCTAAATAATTAGCTAAAATCCTATAAATTTTCTTAAATTTCAATTTTTATTCTTCATGAATTTGGTGTTTTTTGTAGCTCTCGCGGGTAACCTTACTCTGAGACTGTTAACCAGAATATTTTTTAAAAGAGTTTTTTGAAACCACTTGTATCTTCGTTATAGTTTTTATTTTCTACGCAATGTTAATTATATTGAAGCGTTTGCCTTTCGACACGTAGTTTGGTCCCTTAGCTGTGGACGAATTATTGGTTGTTGGGTGGACCCAACAACAGTTGGTATGAAGATGGTAATCACTTTTTGGGGTAGACTCCGTCAAAAGCCAAGAAGATATGCTTTGAGACACACTTTACTTTAATTCCTGACATTAAAAAATAATATTTAAAACGATTTAAACAATAGCCTATAGTGTACAAGGGCGACGAATTTCAGGGGGCTCCCTCAAGTTATTTTAGAATATTTTCGAATATATTAAGGGAAAGCAATTTCTTAAATGTTCTACGATAATATATACACTGAAATCGTGATCTATATTTGATATAGGTTTTATATCATTTTTCATTTACCAAAAAAAAAAAAGAAAGTTACCAAAAAAAATCCAGTAAGTGGTGGCAACGAGAAAATGACCTAAATTTTGTTATATATCTTTAAAACGAAATCATCAAATTAGGTGTTTTTTTGGCGTACCTTCGCAAGTGTTGTGAATTTTTTATTTTTCTCAACACCAAGTTATTGATTTCTAAATTTTGCATTAATATACCCATAATAGATATCCTTGTGTTCGACACACTGTACACACTAGAATCACGACACCTGTCATCTAATTCATGGTCCATTCCATTGTATGTATTGTCGTCTAATTAAAAAACTGTTTTTTTTTATAAACCGAAACTAAAACCTATCAATCTCTTAATACCTAGAGAGAGGCTATTAAATTTTTACGAAGTATTATATTTCTTCACCCATTTACCATGTTCAAATTGTAAATGAAATTTTTCTTTACTTGTCTAATGGCATATAGCATTTAATGTAATGAATTATTAATTTTTTGGCTTAACCTAGTTTTTTCAAATAGCACCCTAGTGGGAACAAAAAATTTTTATAAAACCTGTACTTTTTTTGCAACATTTTGACACCAAAATTTTCAAAATCCGTTAGAAAATAAACTCACAGGGAGGACAATACCAGATAAGTAAATAAAAAGATTTTAATGAAGGTTATACTAGAGAATGATAGCGGTGTTTTTTTAAAATTCTCCTCGCAGATTCTGTTGATATGTCTAATACCACTTCTCTTAGCGACGCAGCTGGATTTACGTTGGCTTATCCCACAACATTGATTTCCATTTTTTCACTTATAATAAAACTTTCGTGTCGATTATTTTGTGGATTTTTTTATTTTCAATTCCAGCTTTCTTCTGCATTCGCTGTATATCAGAAACATACCAACTTTTTCTCCATTTGTAAATTGATTATTAATAATCAAAATCGATAACATGACAAACTCGATAATCGGATGAATAGAAGCAAAGCCACCTAAGTAATATTTTGTTTTCATAAAAATGTATCTACTTATCCGGTTTAAGGAATTTTCAAAATTTTGGTTTCAAAATGTTGCAACAAAGTACGGGTTTTGAAAAGTTTTTATTCCAACTAGTGTGCTATTTGAAAAAACTATTTTGTCCTAAAAAAATAATAGTTCATTGCATTAAGTGCTATTTACGATTAGACGAGAAAAGTTTCATTAACAATTTTTCACATACATGATCAGGTGACCCGGTCAATAGTATTTATGATGGTCACAGCCTCCTAGACACAATTTTTAGAATTAGATAAGAATTTAAAAAAAAACAAATAAAAAGTGAGAAAACCCGTTCTATCCTACGTAGAATGATCTGATGATAGAGTGTACCATTTAAAATTCGAAAGTTACTCAAACGGGAAGTTCAATCATTGACTACGTACTGTTCCCATATTAACTCTTCCAAATTCCAAATCGTTATTTCAAGCTATTTCAATGTACCACAATGATCCTTCAAAGCGAACAATTCAGAATGAATCCACTAAACCATCTCTATTTTACCTGGAACGCTTTGGGGACTGAAACGAATACCCTAACCTAGCTTTTTTGACCCCTTTGTTGTATTTTCGTCACCCTGTATGTGTAGTATCTGTTACTAAGATTTTCACGTGTACTGTGTTATAGATACCAGTCTAGCGATCTAAATGAGTTTAGTTAAAATGCATAGCGAAATATTTTTCTCCAATGAGCAACGCACCTTTTGCGGCGTATCGTTTTTATATAGTTCTCCTTCTCCGACGAGCGACATTATAAAACCGTAACGGACGGAAATAAAAATGTATATCTCGTGCTAGTTTAGTACGGGACCCGGTGTAAAAATCTTATAGATTCCTCCCGATATAGAAGATTACAGAACTAGACTTTGCAATCAAGATGATGGGATTCAGATCGCTGAAACGTGTTAGGAACGCCAAGTGCGAGATTATGCTTGGTACGTATAGTTTTGCCGTTTTAGGTCTGTATATGCGCTTAAGAAAGTCGGCGACATGTGGAAGATTTAGCTGTTTTTATTTTAATTACTACCAAATCACTTTTTTGATATGGGTTAATTATACCTCGCTCTATGCAATTGTTCCTACTTTAGAATTGTGTTCGAATTATTTGGGCTTGCTTGCGAATGGTAAATATTTAATTTTGTTTAATTTTTTTAATTTTTATTTTTTTATTTTTCTTTCTATTTTAAAATGCTTTTAAAGCAACCATTTCATTTCATTAATAACGTCAGGAACCCTTAAAATTAATGTTTGTAAATAATTCAATCCACTAAAGTAAAAATATAGTTGTAAATCTATATTTTCTCTGAAATATGGTGAGCATGGAAGTTCTGGTAAATATAAGGCTTGTAGCAAGAGGTTTTAGTAAAAAATATCTGGTTGACTACAAGGAAACTTTTGCACCACCAGTTTTAGAATCATAATAGCTTTTGTTCAAATGAAAATTGTTTATTAACTGCGTTTTTAAGAATCTGGGGTAAAATAATACCCAGTGGATTTTGATACGTGTTTAAGTCAGAGCTATTGTTGACGTCCAAGAATAAATGCAAAACTTTGGTTTTCGCTTGATTCTAGCAGGACAGTCTTCTCATAAAAGAAACGATATCTTTTAAAAAGCCCAAATCTTTCACAATGATGATATTTGGCTTTATTTTGCTTTCATGTGAACGTTAAGCCGATTATTTGGGGACGGAATTTATTCTGCTTTACCGGAGGCTTCTTGTAATTTAAAAGAGCTTTGATACTTGCACCTTTACTTCGATTTCTCAGCTTTACATCGTGGTCCACTATTTTCGGGAAGGCCAAACTTAAATTATCCTCGGCAGTTATTATACCATCATACTAGTTCAGCTGGATCAATGTGAGTGACACTTTGTCCAATTCTTGTAGCTATTGGGTTGTTCGGAAAGTCATTTCGTTTTTTTTGGGGAACATGAAAGACAGTTTTCGTATAATGAATAAATATTTTATTAAATTATATATTGGCCATTCTGGTCCAACACCTTTTGCCATCTTTCTGGCAGTAACATAATTCCCCTCTCATAAAAGTTTTGGTCCTCGCTGGCAAAAAACTGGTTCAGGTGGTTTTTGATATCTTCATTTGAGGTAAAGGTTTTGCCATCCAAAAAATGTTGCAGGAACCGGTACAAATAGTAGTCGGAAGGCGCCAGATCTGGAGAATATGGTGGATGTTGCAGTACGTCCCATTCAAGCTGTAAAAGTTTTTGGCGAGTGACCAAACTTGTGTGAGGTCTCGCATTATCCTGGTGGAACACTACACCCTTCCTGTTGATTAATCCGGGCCTCTTCTCTTTAAGTGAATCATTCAATTTGTCCAGTTGATGACAATAGACTTCTGAATTAATCGTTGTATTGTCCGGCAAGAGCTCAAAAAAAACGATTCCTTTGACATCCCACCAAACGGAAAGCTTCACCTTTTTTTGGTGAATGTTGGCTTTTGACACGCTTTGAGCCGGTTCATCTTTTCTGCTCCATGACCTCTTGAGTTTAACATTGTTATATACAACAAATTTTTCGTCCCCAGTAATAATCCGCTTCAAAAATGGATCATTTTCTTGACGTTTGAGGAGCGAATCACACACGTCAACGTGACGACACAAATTTGGCTCCGTAAGGACATGGGGCACCCACACATCGAGCTTCGAGGTTAAGCCCATGCCTTTCAAATGGCCATAAACAGTCGAATTCGACAAATTTAATCTCTCACCGATCTCTCGTGTGGTTATTCGCCGATTTGCATCAACTAATGCCTTTATCGCATCTTTGTCAGCTTCGACCGGCCTTCCAGACCGTGGTGCATCTTCGACATCAAAATTGCCGGATCGAAATTTTGCAAACCAGTTCTGGCACTGGCGTACTGTTAACACGCTTTCTCCATACACATCCGTCAATTTTTTTGTCGCTTGAACAGCATTTTTATCTTTTCTGAAGTAAAAAAGTAAAATATGCTTATTGGTCTCCATATTAAAAAGGGCACCAACCAAAAACTACTGCGTAGAATTAATAGAACTTTTTCACACACAAGCCTTGCAATCTCAGCTCTCAAGACATATAATGGTTATGGGGCTTAAGTGTGAAGTTGGTTTGGAAAAAACGTAATTAAGTCCTCTGACGGGAAAAAACGAAATGACTTTCCGAACAACCTTATACATCACCGGATCACCCGAAAGTTTAAAGTTAATAGTCGCAGTGCCAATTGAGACCCTGCACTTTCATATATTTTTCCCAAATTTTGAAAAATTTCTTTAGCCGTGAATTTTTCTTTTTCAAAACCAAGGGATGGGTCTGACAGGTACCCTTTCGGATAAAATCGCTCGAATCCGAAATTTGCACGTGCCGTATTTGTCTCCATCAAATGATCTAACCTTCTTTCTGGCCCATTTAGTTTCAATTTTTAACACTTGAAGCTAATTTTACACAAAGTCGCTAATATTCAGTGATTTTGCAAAGTCTTTTTTAATTATACACACGCGATTTTAAACGATTTCAACAACTAGGCCCATAACCTGAAGGATATGGGGTAAAATAATGCGCAGTGTCTTTTGATGTTATAGCAATATTTAATATATCTCGGAAGGTTTCAACTGCCGGCTGTATATATAATGATATTCTAAAATGCCTCATTCATCATTTCGTAACACCTTGGCATTGTTATTAATGTTTTCTTTGTATAGGTTCAAAAATACAGCACACTTTTTAAAAATATCAAAACTGAATTCCTCAGATGAATATGAATAATCAGTTTTATCCGAAACAAATGTGGGACTTTCCAAAGTCCAAAGAACCGGGGCCGTTTAGAAGAAATTGTGCTCCAGTTTAATGAAATATTTGGAAGAATGAGTAAATTCTCCTTCAACTATTTAACTATTTATGATAATACCCAGAAAATTTTTTAAAAAAGACAATCCATTATACCTTTAAATCTGATATTTGATATGGATCGAGCCTTTTGTCTAGTACGCTACCCTGCAATTTGGAAGTTATCTAGTCCTGTGAAACACCACTTACTGACATGAAGGTCGGTAAATGGGATCCTCACTTTTTGATATTGATGCATCTAAACATATTTTTTATTGAGTATTGAGTAATGTAGATTTTTTTAAATATATATATGTTTGTACCCTTTAAGATAAATTTAGAAAAAAGCACCCGTTATAAATTATTATCCGTGTGTGAAAATACAATCTTTAATGTCGTGGACGTGTTCAAATGAAATGCACGTCATTAAAGCTTTCAGTGATCATTTTTATTTCTCGAGCAACATGAACCCTGTAAATATGTTTTATGTATATGACACGCGCCGGAAATGTAGCAATTTAAACGTCGCTTTATTTGTTTTACTTGCCCGTGCCCAACCGACATGCAAAAAATAGTTTGTTTAGGTCTAGTTAAACTCTGTACGGTTCGATTTCCAGAACCGGACTTATGATGTGTGCGGGATATGGACGATGAAACTTAAGAGGTGGGACAAATCAAAATAACCACCTATATGTTTTTAAATTTTTGTTTTTTAAACTATATTTTGTTTTTTTTTTTCACTAGAATGAAAACATAATTTAACTCCAAAAGTTGTAGAAAATAATTTAGATATTTTATTTACCTCTGCAATTTTCGTAAATACTACGGGAAATGCATGTTTTATATATTTTTATTATCATTTTATTAATATATATTATTGTTACATATTATATATTTATTTTGAGCTTAATAAATACATTAAACTTTTAAATTGTCCTCTTCCTACCTTAAAGCCATTTTTGGTGCTATAGATAAGGATTGAAGTAATAAAGCTCTGAAAAGTAATTCTAAAAATTCATTGTTGTAATATAAAATAACATAAAATAAATGAAAGTATGCAAAGAAACGAAAAACTGTTTGAAAGCAACGGAGAATAAGTTTCAATTTCAGTTAAAATTTTTAATCATAGATTCATGTATGATTCTCCATTTCCGAGAGGGATATTGCACTATTTAAATACGTAAGCGTCTTGTTTTACTCAATATTTTGTATTATCCCTGTTTGGACACTGTAACCTTTTATCGGCTACACAAAATTCAGAATAATGTATGTCGCTTTATTTTTAAACGCAAATTTGACCATATATCCGGATCATTCAAGAAATTAAATTGGTTAAAAATAAAAACAGTTTTCAAGCACAATTTTCTATGTTCTTTGAAACGTGTGATAAATTCCAGTGTTCCTAAATATTTGAATGACAAATTAGTATTTAGGAAGTCAATTCATGACCTGACTCTGAGACACCGAGCCACGCTCACTATGCCGTTACAAAATTTCGATATTCTTTTGCATATAATGCTGTAATTCTGTTCAACTCCTTAGACCGTGTTCTCAAATCAGAGTTTCTTGGTCCATGCAAAACTTTTAGCTTTTATTGAAAAAGGCATTTACTTACTTACCGAGCGAAATAACTAAATTGTAAAAATCATGTTGTAATAAGGTTCTTTTTTGATGTGTAGTCATAGGTTATTGTGTGTGTGTGTAGTACATATGTTATTGTCATAGTTTTATGCTCACTTTTAGTTGAAATGTGTAGTTTGTATTTGAATATGGGTTAAGCGTGTCCGGCTTTAGGGCCAAACTTCGAAATCCTCATCCAAAAGAAACTCGTAGTATTTACTAATTGAAGAACAAAAAACATAACATGCGAAATTGAGAGTCTTCAGTGTGCAAATACCGTAATTTATTCATACAAAATGTTTAGGAAAGATGGAAAAATACAAGAAAATATTGCTCAATACTGGGCAGTATAGGAAAATTCTCCGAAATATTTTAGTAATACTGTGAAACATAGTGGAAATGATAAAAATTTCGGAAGGTAGGTGCACGATCGAATCTTCCAAATAATAATAGAGATACAGAATGTAAAGTTTTCGGGATCATAAATTCGTAAAGTTTT